TTGACGGTTTTTCGCTCGAGATAGCACCCATGAAATCCTTATAAATAAAAGTCGTGTTGAAATAGTATGAAAAAATTTTCGAAATCCTAAATATATCATTTGAACCAATCAACATGTAGCTCCCCTCTCGGTAAAAAGAAATAAAGCAACAGCACAGTACCCACGTGGTGCACAAGATATATATAAAAAGAGAGCGAGAGAGAGAGAGAGAGATTGGCTATAACTGACTCTTTCTCACTCTCTCGCACTCTAGTCTAATATATCTTCATGCTGGTAACCATTGCGGAAAACACCCAACAAATTTTTATCATTTGTATACTTACATTTAATTACTTATTGTTTGGAATTTTCACCAACAGAGAAAACTCCTATTATGTACAAATATTCCAACCAAAGTATCATGTATGTTGATGTTAGCAAGGCAATACACATGTTGTTTTTTATCAGCTGGTGTTTATTTTATTTTTAGCAAAGCTAAAATCTCCAAGTAAATATGCCTAAAAAAACGTATACTTATATTTTCTTATTAAACATACATAGTATATAATTGATATTTTAGTTTTTTATACATAGATATACATCTACCTCATCTAAAGTACAGACTAACAGACGACACGTTCATAGTTCATAATTAACAAAGTATACTTAGTCGTGTAATAGATCTAATCATTTTCGCATCATGACAGTAAAGTTCAAATGGTTAGTTTAGTTTAATTTTAAGTATAGGAAGTGAGTGAGAAAAAGGGAAGAAATTTTAATTCGAAAAAGATATACTTACCATCGAATGACAGATCACAGACGAAGGTAAACAACACAAGAGACTAGTGTAGTAGTATATCTGTGTTGTGTTCTTGGCATCAAATATGCAGTGTATAGGTATAAAATCATTATTGCACTGAAGTGCGAATATAACATGCAACATATATATTGGTTGTTGCATATTTTACGCATGAAATGCATTTTGTTATTAAAACGCTAATAGCTCAGTCCATTGTCACTCGTCCAAGGGTTATGAAATCAACTGATAAAGCATTGTTTATCTCAAACGTGCCATCGAAAATACGTAAACTTGCTGTTGTCTTACTTAGTCAGTATAGCATCTTACATTTATCGCGACATTAAATTATGATACCTTTGTTCGTTTTATTAATTTTAGTTTTCAAATGTTTTTATGTGCTCTACTAAAGTTTTTGACCAGTAATTTTTCCAATATTAACTGTTGTCAAATGTCAGTTGTGAAAGGAGCTGAGTTGTGTACATCAAACCTGAAGACTCTAATGTTGTGTACAGTTATGTCCCACTTAGATGGACTTTATGATGCTGCATGTACAATATTCTAGCATATCTTTTTACTACCGTGAACACACGTTACATTTTTTAATTTTGCCATCATTAGAGCTTTGTCCGTGAGTAAAATTTTTAAGTTACTTTTAAATGTGTTTTTAAGAGACAAAAGAACTATATTTATTGATAGGTCTGTATAGACAAAGATCAAATAGTACATGAGTCATTTGTGAAAATAATTCTGCAGTAGTTTGCTGTAGTTTGTCATTGTTGAATCTAACTTTTTTTTTTAATCATAATTTTTCAACAACAATACTCATATAATTTTTTTTCATATCTACAACAAGTGTTATGTGTTCTCAGGTTCGCAAATGAAAGAAGAACGTAAATTAGCTGCACGGGCCAAAATGAGACCAAAAATTGTAACAGATTGGAGTATCAATGATGTCGTGAGCTGGCTCACACAGACAGGTCACGGAGATCTCTGCACTATTGAAAGATTCAGGGAACACGAGATTGATGGCAAAGCATTAATTACACTTAAAGAAGATGACTTGAAGGCAATGTCAAAGCTAAGGATTGGAACAATTAAGAGATTGATCATTAGCATAAGGCAGCTACAAAGAGAAAATGCAACTTTGCTGTTGGAGCTCAATTACCTTGATTTTTTCACGCAAAACTTTTACTCACCTAAAAATAATGATGTTAGTCAATTTATTTATCTTGTGTATTGTTATTGCATCTATTGAAAATTGTGTAACAAATGACACTTCGCTTATGCTCATAATTAATTATACGATTTATTTTACAGCTGACTCTCAGTGGAATCACAAATGAAAGTTCCATAGACCATGATTTTTTTCCTGCTTCAATTTCCGAGGATGGAACGGCTTCTCATTTACCTCCAGAAATTTGGAAAACGTTCATTAGCTTAGGTTATTTATTTATTGTAACTTGGATTACTGCCTTTGTGATGGTGATAGTTCATGACAGAGTGCCTGACATGAAAAAATATCCGCCGTTACCAGATATTTTTCTTGACAATGTGCCACACATACCATGGGCTTTTGACATGTGTGAAGTAACTGGTACCCTGCTTTTTGCATTATGGCTAGTTGTTCTTATTTTTCATAAATATAGGTAACATACATATAAGCTTATTTTTGCCATTTGAGTATATCTCACAGAGTTTAACATAAATATTGATAGCTAATCATAATCTTAATTCTTTCAGATTTATATTACTCCGAAGGTTCTTTGCGTTATCTGGTACAGTCTTTTTACTGAGATGTGTTACAATGCTTATTACATCCCTCTCTGTGCCTGGTGCACACTTACAATGCCAGCCTAGGAATAATCCTATTACAGATTCGTCTAGGTAAACATAAACAATATTCATTACTTCCATTCATATTTTGTTGGTTTCTATATTGCTAATAATTGAGGAAAAACTTACTTTTATCATCAATGTTCAATTTTTAAACGATTATGTAACTCATCGCATGAACAAATTTTTGTTATAGTTTGTATAACGAATTGTATAACAAGATTGAGATGGCCTATGTGATATGGCGTGGTGCTGGTATGTCCATTCAAGGTGTCAGAACATGCGGTGATTACATGTTCAGTGGACATACAGTTGCATTGACGATGCTAAACTTTTTTATTACTGAATGTTAGTATATTTCTTTTTAATCATTTATCAGTCACGTATTAGTTTAGTTTCACGTATTTAAAAATCGTATGTTTATGCAATAATATATTTCAGATACTCCAAGACAGATGTACTTTGTGCACACATTCACGTGGATGCTCAACATGTTTGGCATATTTTTCATCCTCGCTGCTCACGAGCACTACTCCATTGATGTCTTTGTCGCCTTCTACATTACCTCCCGACTGTTTTTGTATTACCACACATTGGCCAATAACCAAGCTTTAATGCAGCGCGATTCGAATCGAACGAGGATCTGGTTCCCGTTGTTCAGCTTCTTCGAGTCGTCCGTGGACGGAATCATACCCAATGAGTACGAGACGCCATCGGTGATTATTTGCAACCTAATCAGAGCTGTCAAGGACACCGGCAATTATTTGCGAATATGCATGTTTGGCGTGCGTAGGTTGCAAGAAAAGTCCAATGGTAGCGTGAGTAGTAGTAGTAAAAAGAAATCTTAATGCAGACATCGTTTGTCTACAATTCGTCAAAAAGAGGCTTACAAGTGTAACGACACACTTATGTGAATTCATAAAAAAAATTTCTAAGAAAGTAACTGTTTTATGAAACGGTGTGATAACAGTGTAATTGATAAAACATGTAAATCACAGCTAAACGTAAATTGTTGAACTTTTTTTAACAGTCTTAGGTTATTAGCTTGTTGGTCAAAAACAATTAAATAAAATTTTTTACAATTTTATAAAAATAATTAAGTATTTTTGTTCACGGTACAATGTGATAAAATTAATTTTCTGCTCATAATTAAACTGCAAGGAAATGACATTCTTTTCCAATTTTTGATGAGTTTGGCAAAAGGATTTAAACATTTCTTTTTTAAATCAGTATGACATTTTTACTTTAAAAAACAATTCATGACATTGTAAAAAAAAAAAACGACATGGCAAAAGCCGTCCTTAGTTTCAATTTCTTAGTTTAACTAGGTTTTTCAAAGGCATTTATCATTCCAAATACTTGAAAATCGTTTCGGATATTAATAAATAAGTAGGTTCATACGAAACATAGATATTTCGAAAACTATTTGAGATCTCGATTTATCAGATCAGTGCAATATTGGAAGCATTAACATTTAACAATGTACATACATACATATACATACATAGTTTTGTGCACCTATGATTTGTAAATTTTTTCTTGCAAATTCTTCACTCTTGACAACAACAACAACAAAGAGTTAGAAGAAATAGCAATGACTGCGCAAGTCAAAAAATTGTTTCTCAAACGCCTTTCTAACTTTGTACAGTATCCTGATGAAAATTACAAAAGTAATTGTGAAAATAATAGTAAATTAGGAAATAATTAAACGAACGAACAAATAAATAAAGAATTTTACAACGTTGTAGATAGGTCCAAAGTAAATAAGGAATGACTGTAATATGTATTATATTATGTAAAATATTACAGTATAGTTGTATAAGACATTTTTTACGGTGCCGCACAACGGTTATACGACTTTGCCAAACTGAATAATTATGTAAGAAAATTGTTAGTCAAAACACGAGCGCCATCGCTGTCAGTGACGCTTTTGAGTAATTCACGTGGATCGAACTCAGTTGTACATAACATAGATATAGCATATACTTTATATTTGATACGTGATTTTTATTATTTCACCAATGAAATATTATAAGTTCTCGTTTTGTTTTTATTCAATTAGAGAGCTGTGCTCGATGTTTCAGTTTACGTATCATAAATATAAAAGACTTGTTCCAGATATATATATATAACATTTGATCTTTTCACTCCCACCTTCGAGAGGTTATGGTCTTAAAGTTCCTAGAGAATGTAGATGTATACATAGGAATTCCAATGCACTTTCAAAACTGATGTCCACAATGCAAAACATAAGAAAAGTTGAAAGGCCGAAAAAAAGTTACCTTCAAGAATTTCAATTTAAAATATTGAAGAGACGGGGGGGGGGG